CGGGGCGGCGCGGACCAGGGGCGGGGCGGCGCGGGCCCGGGGCGGGGCGGCGCTGTGCGCGCATGCTCGGAGCGGCCCATCCTGCTCTGAGCCGGCCTTCCGGCTGGCCGACCGACGGAGATAGGGGCCACTCCAGTGTCTAGGTGTGGAGGGCTGTTCGGAGTTCATGCCCGTAGATTTCTTTTTTTGCTATTAAAGGAAATAATTGAGGGCTTTTCTTGATTGGTGGAGGATGAGGCTCAGGATCTGGGAGGACATGATCTAGTACAATCCTGTTCCTTTAATGAATGGAGAAACTGAGGCCGGGAAGAGGGAAGTGAGCTGCCCAAGTTTAAGGAGCTACTTAGTGGTCCAGGTTCTCCATGGCTTTCTTTGGGGCGCTCTGCTACGCTGTGTTGCTTTGTACTAAGTCAACTGTAATTTGTATCATGTTCTCCCGGAGAGGGAATCCTGATTTAAAAAGGATACTGGAAATTCTTGATACCGGCTGTAAAAGCAAAGAACAAAAAGTAATTATTTGAGTAACTACGGCCTAACACACTCCTTTTGACTCATCAGGACTTTTGGGCAGGGAGGCCTGGAACCAGTGGGCAGAGGATCGACTGCTCACCTGTACTCTGGCCTGTGCAAATCTTTGCTCTCCAGACAGCCAGAGGGGACACAAAGGAAGTCCTTATTTCATTCTGTTAAGATGATTGAGACCAGAGCTGTTTCTGATGGTCAAGTGACAAGCCAATGGGAACAACGTATACCCTTATCTTATGCTTGTCAAAACTAACAATAACGAATATTTCCAAAAATGAATGCATAAACTGTGATGAAATAACTTGTATAGGCATATACCTAATGAAAGTTTTACTTGAAATTTCAACGAAAGCCCTAAAACAGGAGACATCTACCATTGTTGAGCACATACCATCTCCCAGGCACTTTTAAAAACTGTATACTCAAATTTACTAATCCATACAAAAATCTACGAGAAGAATGCTACAGTCATCTCATTTTGCATGGGAGGAAAAGGAGGTACCAGGAGACTAAGTTATTAGCCAAAGGCAAGCTTTCTTACCGTGGGCACTGCTGACATTTGGGGCCAATAATTCTTTCTTGTATGGAGATGACCTGCATTATAGCAGCATCCTTAGCCTCTACCCCTTAGATGCTAGTGGTACCCACACGAAGTTGTGACAGCTGAAAATGTCTCTAGACCCTACACAGTTTCTCTGTGGTGAACCACTACTTTAGTAGTAGCCCCCACCCAGCGCTTAACTTCATACTATCATGCAGTTACACGCCACAGTTCTCAGGAGGAGGTGCTCGGTACTGCCCTGTAGGACTCACCGAAAAGGCCTGAACAGGTTCCATGAGCAGCACCCACAGTCACAGTATATAAAGACTGGAAACTGAAGGGCAGATTGTGCATCAGCGTAGCAGAGATTGCGGTAGCATTTCCCTTCCTCCCCCAAGACAACTGGCAGGGACTCCTGAGCCAACAGAGAGACCTGGGGCATCCACAGGCCATCCTGAGCAGCTGGCTGTTTGCTGAGCTGTGGGCTGTGCTGATCTGCAATCAGAGGAGATGCCAGTGTGTTTACAAAGGTCTTGGATCCCTGAGTCGTGCCTGTGGAGTTGAGGGAACGCCTTGTGAACAGAAACCCAGATGGCTGCTTCTTGCCTGGAGGATCCTGAAGGAGGGGGCAGCACTCTGAGGCCCAAGTGCACCTCTAGCATCCTTTGTCAACTCAAGGACCATTAAGCATCTTCTGGGTGGAATGGGTGCTGTGCAAAGTACCTGGGTTCGGTACATCTGGATGGCACCCTGTCAAAGAGAGTGACGTAGCAGGGGATGAAGGCCAAGCATTAAGAGGCAGAGGGGTCCACTGGCATGGGCCAGAAAGGAGGTATGGGGCCACAGGAGGTCAGTCAGCGGTCTCAGGGTTAATGTCAATGCACCCCAATGTGTAGACCGCCAAAAGAATCTTTGCCTGCATCACTTGAAAACTTCAACATTTGAACACCTGTTATCAGGGCCAGCTATATAATTGGTGGAGCTCAGTGTGAAATAAAAGCATGGAGCTGCTTCTCCCGAAGGGAGGGGTAAAGTGAAAGTGTTAGTCACTCAGTTGTGTCTGACTCTTTGTGACCCCATACACTGTACCCCACCAGGCTCCTCTGTCCATGGAATTCTCCAGGCAAGGATACTGGAGTGGGTAGCCATTCCCTTCTCCAGGGGATCTTCCTGACCCAGGTGTCGAGCTCGAGTCTCCTGCATTGCAGGCAGATCCTTTACTGTCTGAGCCGCCAGAGAAGTCCAAGGTAGGGGCAAAGTGTCATTAAGGATAGTCAGAGTTAAAACGGTTCCTTTCTTTGGCCTCCTCTCTCTCTCTTAAACAATGGTCCTGTTTTCAAGTTGCAGTATTTAATGCCTTGTTCTTGGGAGCATAGGAAAACTTGAAAGGTGAGTGCAGACACGCAGGAGGACGCTTCAGTGCTTCTTGGAGCCACATATGCACAGGAGCACCCGCCTCACAGGTGTCGAGTTCTCCCACCTGTTAAATACTGGCCCCACACTGCTGTGCCCTGGCCAGGCGTGGGGAAACCAATCCCTGGGGCACTGGCCACAGCCCCAACCCACAGCAAACCAGCTGAAGACTGCAACCTTCCACGGGAGGCACACTCCTTGCCTGGACGGGGTGGTTAGAGACTTGCCCCAGTCCACTCACCCTCCAAACACGCCATGGCCCTGCCAGCCCAGGGCAGTTACAGGGCGTGGGATGTGCACCCGGTCCAACTCCCCCTCCCACCCCGGGTCTGTGTACCTGCCTCTCCCGAGGCAGAGGGAAGCCAGGGACATTGGTTGCCATGGGGATGGGGGTTGGGAGGAGAGTCTGGGAAAGCAAGGTCCAGAACCGATCTCACAGGTGGGAGGCAGAGGGGCACGTGCCAAGCCTGGTACATGCTAGTTGTTCCAAAAGACTTCCCTTCAAAAACAGAGTCAAAGATTATGTTATTCACAATCTCAAGATAGCCACTTGATAGCCACTTAAACTCCAAGGGTAAGGCCCTGTGTGAGGGCGCTGGTTGTCTGCCCAAGAGGCAGGCCCTGCCTGCTACCCAGAGGACATCAACAAAGTCAGCTCAAAGACATATCATTTCAGTAAATTTGTCAGTTCTTTCCCGATTCCTCCCCATCCATTCCTGGCCCCTGAACCTGGTGGAATGGGAGGAGGGTGGGAGGCAGGGAGGTATGAAAGAGCAGATTCTATATTATTCCTTGGACAGTTTCCTCAATTCAGGGTGCAGGCCTGAGCTGGCAGGAGGGAAAACAGACCTGAATCAGTCTATGCTGATTAGTATCACTAATCAGCTAAAGTTAGTGTCGCTGTTATCAAAGTGAATGTTTGGTGTGTGTATTGTATGCTTGTTGACTGACTGACTGGATTGATTGACAATTCAAAGTATCCAAGAGGCAATGGAATTCACCCGAGAAGTCAGCAAGCGGCAGAGAAGGAATCACCAATAAAGCGTGCTTATTAATGACTGATGCAAAATACAGCCATTTTCTGCTGGTACCTCCAAGTTCTAATTGTTTCACATAAAGCTATGGTTCAACAATGTGATAAATGGTAACCAAGTGGAACTCACCGGAAATTTCCCACCAGTAAAATCACTGTATAAAAGGGGTAAATGATAAAATCATAAAAGTAATTTGAAATGGGTTATTTGCATCAAGATGGCATATTGTATTGATTGCTTGGTGACCGTCATGTAATTTAATTGTTTTGATTACCCAAAGACACATCATTTTTTGTTCAAATGAGCAATAGCTATCTGATTGCATCGATCTAGACCAGGATATCATCCAAAATAATCAAAGATAATTAACTCTACATTCAAATCCAAATCTTTCCCCAAGATATATGGGACTTTAAAGAGTTCGTTTTATGGATCAATCACATTTTTAGCTTCCACCTTGGCCTTTCCTTTGTTTTATTTTTCTCTCCTACATCAAATTCATATTATCTTTACAGGTCATATTAAATTATTAGAGCTTGCTTTCACAAAGCCTTCTCTTTTCTGTCTACCTGAATTGCATATTTATTTAAAAGGTGTTTATCATGATCCAAGCGAGCCTCCTTTCACCTTGATTCACCATTTAAATATGACCTCATTCAAGATACATCTAATTAACAAAACATATTTTAAGTTATTTTGGGGTGGTATGATAGCTCTAAAAATGTATTTAATGAGTGGTGTTAATAACACTTCTTTATTAAAGTGCAAAATGCTTGAAACACCTGCATTAATGCTCTCTGAAGAAGAGAAGAAATCAGTGTGGATGCAAGAACTTCCTTTCTTCAGATGCCTTGTTCAGCTAGTTTTCTTGGAGCTATTAGAACGTATATGCCACTTTTAAAGGATACAGGCTTGCATGTCAATCTCAGAAAGCCTTATTAGTTCACACTAGGTTTAAAAATAGTTGGTAAAGACATTATAACTTCATCTACTTTTGACTGCCTAAGGCAAGAAGTGATCAGCTAAGTAGCACAATTTTGTAGGAAGCCTTTGAAGCACTCTTGTACAAATAAGTTTGTACATTGATCCTAGGTTTAAAAGTAATAGCTCATCCTTCAAAAGACCTGATAATAAAACACAGTCCAGTTTTTTCCCTAAAACAAATTAGGTAGCAATATATTGAAAAGAAAACTGGTAATTTTTTCCCAGTGACTGTGAAATCTGTCATCACTTTTGGCCCCATCGTTGACCAAAAGCATTACGATTAAGCAGGGGATTGAAGAACACCTGATGATGCTGAACATTTTCTGCAGCTC